AGCTCACACACAGAGAACATAAGATTTTTTTGCGTGGAAAATCCTAGAAAGGGGAAAAACCACAGGGCCTGACCTAGTCTGAAATGATTTCACTAGTGTTTGGGTAGATTACAATGGGCTGACTCGTCCCTGAGGGTGATCAAATTACAAATGTCAACAATATGGTTGAAATCTAGCGACAAACGGGGATGAAAGTCATGCGTCACTTGATGGCATGGTGGAAGTCCATCATTACTTAAAAATTCGAGCATTAGTTGGTAGCCTGGCGGTAGTTTGTCAGAACTTCGGCGTCGGTCGATGGTCCAACAGAATTATGGCATCAAGTTGTGGTCCGACAGAAGTCCGGGCCTCAAGTGGTGATCAGGCAGAATTTTGAAACTCAAGTGGTTGTCCAGCAGAAATTCGGACAAGTGGTGGTCCGGCAAAAGTTTGGGCCTCAGGTGGTGGTCCTCGGAGTTTAGTGCCTCATGTGGTGGTCTAGCGGAGCTCAAGGCCTCAAGTGGTGGTCCAGCGGAACTCAATGCCTCAGGTGGTGGTCCAGCGGAACTCAATGCCTCAAATCTTGGTCCGGCGGAGCTCATGGCCTGAAGTGGTGGTCTGACATAGCTCAGGACCTCAGGTGGTGCTCCGGCATAAGTCCGGGATCAGGTGGTGCTCTGGCAGAAGTCCGGGTCTTAGGTGGTCCGACAAAACTCTAGGCCTCAGGTGGTAGTCCGACAAAACTCCGGGCCCCAAGTGGTGGTCCAGCAAAATTCCGAGCCTCAAGTGGTGGTCTGACAAAACTCCAGGCAATGGTCGAGGAGGAGCAAGGAGGCAAAAAGGGATCTCTGATCTCTCTCTTGTTTCCTTTGGCTTAGGTCACTTTTCAAGAGGAATGAGGAGTCTATTTATAGATTTATTAGAGTGGCATGGCCCGTAAATATGAGTAAGATCAAAGGTAAATGGGGAGTGGTTTGGATGGACAACCGATATTGAATCCCTTGATCGTGGACCGTTCGCTAGACATTTGAAGGACTTAATGATGTCAGAATTCTATGATCTTAAGATCGTTGTATTCGTCTCGTCGAGCCGTTCAATTTGATTATAACCATGTAACATTTGGAAACCGTTTGGTAATCCAAATTGGGGTTCGAACCTTCGGAAAGAGCTTTAGGACCTTGATTTGGACCCATTTGCGCTCGAATTGAGTCGAATTTGGTGTCGTTAGGTTTGATTCAATATTTACTCATTGATATGAAATAGTTTGATTCATCCTTTCTATCTAATAAAATATTAAAATTCATGATAAATTTTGAAGTCTTTTTTTTATCATTAAACTTCTAGCAATCTAATTATGATTCACGTAAATATAAGATTTTTTTTTAGATAATTAGCGGCGGTGTTGAACACAACTAAACACAAAATTACGAGAGATTATTACTTGCAGAGTCTAGACCCAGGGATCCGTTCGATTTTATAACTGTGAACAGTAAAAACGCACCGAACGGTTCTCCGGATCCAGACTCCGCACGTAATGATCTCTCTAAACTTACACCTTAAAATCACAGAGCTGCTTACAAAAATTTATCTCAAACAAAACCTTAATCATGTTTATTGTATAATATAGTAAGCTTCTTTTTTTTTTAAATCTCAGGATTTTGAAATCATGATTCACGTAAATATAAGATTTTTTTTTAGATAATTAGCGGCGGTGTTGAACACAACTAAACACAAAATTACGAGAGATTATTACTTGCAGAGTCTAGACCCAGGGATCCGTTCGATTTTATAACTGTGAACAGTAAAAACGCACCGAACGGTTCTCCGGATCCAGACTCCGCACGTAATGATCTCTCTAAACTTACACCTTAAAATCACATAGCTGCTTACAAAAATTTGTAATCCTCAACCTAAAATTAGAAGAGAAGCGAACGCTTACAAAAAAAATACTTAAAAAGAACAAAAAAATTACCCATGAATTTGAAAATTTGCCATCTTAACCCGATCAATCATCTTCTTCTGATAGAAGCTTAATTGTTAAAAAGAATTGATATATCTCATAATTTTATAAATAAGAAAGATTTTAATGTTATGTTCTACCATTGAAGTGAACCATTTTTTCATCATAAAATGATCCATTTTCAAATAGAAAGAGTGAATGTCATTCCTCTTAATTTAGGCTTCGTTTGGGACGATTTTTTTACTACTTCGTAAAGCAACTTTTTAGTTAAAAAACACTATTTTTTAACTAAAAAATAGTTTTAAGAAGCAATAAGAAAACTGCCTCAAACGAAACCTTAATCATATTTATTGTATAATATAGTAAGCTTCTTCTTCTTCTTTTTTTTTAATCTCAGGATTTTGAAGTCTATTTCGAGTACAGTCATAGCAATAGTGGCAGCCGAAGGTTTGTATATGGGATTGCACACTCTTCATTTATTAGCTTATTAAATATTGATAATTTCAAATATCAGGAGCTCATCATGTGGACCTAAGAGGATCAACAATGGAAGACCCAAAGTGGCTTCAGGATGTGAGAGATAGAGAGGTCCAGATTATTAAACAGTGGATTCGAGAGTACTATGAAGATTTCTCAATTTCAGAAAATATTTGAGCTTTGTTAATGATGAGCCATGGTGATACTCTCTCTCTCTCTCTCTTATAAGATACTTAGACTTCATTTGATACAGCTTTCTTACTGCTATACTTTTATGTATTTACAACTTTTTTTAAATAAAATTCTATTAAATTTGACTAAAATCCAAAACATTTCATCAAATTCATCTTTTTGAGCCGCTCTGCTTAATAATAATACGTACAATAATTTTGAAGATTATTCGACCTTCTAATTAATATTCAAAAGTTTCAAATAGATTTTCTCAAGAGATCGACATGAAAGTTCCTAAAGCTTCATTTTTGACGGCTTTCTTACTACTTAAAGCAGATTTTTAATACAAAAAATAATTTTTTTGTACTAGAAAGCTGCTTTAAGAAGCAGTAAGAAAGATGTCTCAAACAAAGACTAAGGCTTCATTTGGGATACTGCTTCTTCAAGCAGCTTTTTAGTATAAAAATTTTAATTTTAAAACTGAAAAGCTATTTGAAGAAGCAATAAAAAGCCGTCCCAAATTAAGCCAAGTTGTGTTTAGTTGCTTTGTAATGTCATGATAAACTGATCACAGGGTTGGATGACATATTTTTAAGAAGGTCCGATATTAAGATTTGATGGCTTGTATAAAAAAATAAGATATAAATTAATAAAATTATATAATAAATTTAAAATTTTATTAAAATTAAATATGATATAAATTAATAAAAAATTTTGAAGGACAACAAAAAATACTCAAGTTGGATGGTTAAGTGAAGAAATGCATCAGGCTTGTTGTGTGATAGAAAATTTCCCCTCAAACTTGAGAGAAAATCTTATAAGATGGTATTGAGACCTGCAATGTTTTATGGTGCAAAATGTTGGTCAATAAAAGAAAAGCATGATATAAAGTTAAGCGTTGCAGAGATGAGGACGCTTAGATGGATGAGTGGCTTTACTCTTAGAGACAGAAAACGAAACAAACATGTACGTGAAAAGGTTGGAGTAGCTCTAGTGGAAGATAAGACTAGCGAGAGTTGCCTTAGATGGTTTGATCACATAAAACGGCAACCTTCCGATGACCCGTTTAGGAAAGTAGATGTATTAGATTTGACTTATGTTAAGAAAGGTGAAGGTAAACCAAAAAATATTTAGTTAGAAAATATAAGAAATGAACTTTCTTTATTAGATTTAGATGAGAATTTGACTCTTAACAGGACATAATGGAGAAAAAAGATTCATGTAGCCGACCCCACATAGTGGAATAAAGGCTAGTTGTTGTTGAACAAAAAAATGCTCAAATAGTCAGGTAGAACAAGAAAAAAAGCTTCAAAAGTCATCAGTAAATCAAAGTAATTGCCAAGCTCGTTTCAGTAGATTCAGTGTTTGAGGAAGAATAAATCTATCAAATACTTACACAGTAACAAACATTAGAACTGAGAAGAAAGATCAAAACATGCAACCCTTAAATCTAGAAAAAAAAACCAACTGTTATATCTATATTTTCGAAAAAACTCTACAGAGCACCTTATAAACTATAATCAATTCATGAAAACATACCAGATAAATTGGCAGAAGACATATCTTCTGAATATAAGTGGGGGTCATCTATGAAAGCTACTCACTTGAATTAGCAAGGCCAACCAGCTTGAGCATGTTACGATCTTCTTTAAATCTCTCTAGAACTGAACCTCTGACAAGTTCAGTCTTATCATGGTTGATTTCTTTTGTCAATACAGCCCAGCACTCTATCACATCGGGCCGAATTTGGTTTGTTTTCGACAAGCATGGGCTGTTGAAAGTTGTGCAGGTGAATGAGTGCCCCTGATCGAAGCTTGAGGAAAGGAAGAAGCCAAAGTGATTTGCTCGCCCGCCAAAACCAATGCCATTCGGGATGCTATCTGAGCTGAAATTTACAGCACACTGATAATAAAGAATTAGTTCTGGAGGTGGTTTTCTTTTTAAGATCAAAAGAATACTCATTAAGGCTTCGTTTGGGATGGCTTTCTTACTGCTCTTAAAGTTACGTTTTGTTATTCAGTACTTTTGTAAAAGACAGTTTTAAGAAACATTGGTTTTGAAAAAGGATTTTTCTAACGGAGAAAGCACATATAAAAATCTTTCTCAAAACAGCAGAAAAATTTAAAAAAAAAAATGATGTTATTGGAAACATGATTTGAGGAACCAAACAGTAAAGAAGAAAAAACTTTACTGTTTTTAAAAGGAATAAGCACAAAAAATGTCCAATCAAACTAGACCTAAAGAAGTTTTTAATACAAAATTAAATTTTTTTATAAAAAAAACTGCTTCAAGAAGCAGTGAGAAAGCCGTCTGAAACAAAGCCCAAGTTCTACTGATATAGCAAGAGAGCAACATTACAAATGAAATTGCACTCAGTTATACTGGAAAGTCATGGTGCAATATGCTTGAGATGAAGGCTGTAAAAGCATTAGTACTCCTCTATTATTTCTATTTTGATAGCTTTGGCAGTTTGGACAGTTTAGATCTTTACTTTCAGTAATGATATATGAAATTAGTATAACATAAAAGATATTTCATCTAACACTTTTACAATTAACAATATTAATAGTATACTAAATAAAATGAGCCTTTGTATTATTAAAAATCAAATAAAAGCAAATAAGCTTGTATTATTAAAATCAAATAAATAGCCCCTTGCTGTTTTTCATTCTTATGCATACACTGACTCTTTAGTTTGTTTACCTGTATTTATGAACTAAGTTAAGCTATGGAGATAAACTTTATTCACCTAACCCAAACTTCTGCCTACCACCCTCTTACTAACTCCTATAAATTTATTACCTATCATCCTCTACTTAACATCTACACTATGATATCCTCGACCATCTACCTAATAAATTTAAGTTTGCTCCCAATCACCTCTAAATACTATATAAAGAGATGATTATTTTTTGTTGAAACATCCAACGGCCACAATAAAATAAAATGTAGAGGGAGAAAGGAAAAAGGGGCTTAAGCTTTCAACCATAGTAGGAAAAAGCTAATGCAGTAGATGAGAGAAGAGAGGGACAGGCTATCGCAGCTGAAAAGGAAAGATAGTAATAACAGCAGTAATATTATCTTCTACACGTTCCACCCTCCTTTTCACATTAGGTGGATGCCCTCTTAGTTATCCAGAGAGAAAATGGTTTATCTATCATCATCTTAGTATGTATGAATTTTTTTTTTGATAAACTACTCTTTAAAGATTAATAACTATTTGATCTCTGTATAGCGTGTAAATGTGAATATAATCGAACCACGAAAATTTGTGTCTTATGATTGTGATCTTTGGCATGATTTTCCTTTGTCTTCATTTGATTTTGCTCGAAATTTTATCAATATCCTAAGTTTCATAAGATAGAAGCTTCTCGAGAGATTTTTTTTTTTAAGAAAAATAAAAAATTGTGTTGGATAAAGGATAAGATTGCAAGTGGGAGTCTTTGTTCAAGAATAACATAGCAAACTGCACCAGAACGTAAACCAACATTGCAAAAAGGAGGCTACCGCATGATGGCAAAATAAACTGCTGTAAACTTTGGCAAGAAATTGCTCTATCACTCAACCACAATGCTTCATAAAATCAATTTTAGGCTTCGTTTGGAACGGCTTTCTTACTGCTTCTTAAAGCTTCTTGTTAGTACAAAAATTTAAATTTTTATACTAAAAAGTTGCTTTAAGAAGCAGTAAGAAAGCTGTCCCAAACGCAAACTTAAACTCCAAAACAAACTCAGTTTTTCAGCCATGTTGAGCAATAACATGAGATTAGCAAACAGGAAAACTTAGTAAGCCAATATGAATACAAGCATAGTCGTATTAAAGATGGGGAAAAGGCCATCCTTACCCATTGCAAGTTATTGTTTTGTCCAGTAGGACGGAAGATGGATGCCTGTGGATATAACTGAAACAGAAACGATTTCATGTCTCCATAAAAATCATTATGCCTCTCCCAAGGCTGAGAAGCATATCCTCCATATATGTGGCCTTCACTATCCTTCATGACTAAAATTGTTGGACCCTCCACGCTCCTGCAGATTAAAATGTAAAAAAGCAGCAAAAGCGTTTGTATGGTCAACTATACGCTTTTTTTTTTTTTGGAAAATGAATTTATCTTTAAGTGGTCAGAATATTATATTCTCACAAAATGCATAATGCTGCTTAAGAAAATTAAAATGAAAAAATAAAGGAAAAGCTATACTCCTATTTCTAGAAACGCCCGAGGATTGCTACTGTAGTAGTTGAATGTCAAATTTGAAGTCAAAATGTTTCAGCATATATATGTCTGATCAATCAAATGTTTCACTGGTTGGATCTGAAGATCAGTTTTAGTAATTGGCTGATGATATCAAATAAATGTGCTTCACTTCTTTGCTATGCTTGGCATTGAATTATAAAAGCAAAAAATATTCTGAGTTATTTACAAAACAAACAACAATTGCTGCATCTTAAGAATATATGAGGATTGTAACCACAATGCGCTATCATCTTCTCAAAGAAGTCATGCTCTATAAGGGCCTTATTTTCCCATTTGCACCTAGTTTGGCAAGCCTAACCGTCTAACTTTCACTGTCAACATCAACCAGAAAAAAATGCATTAATCTGATAAAAAGAAAAACTCACGATATGCTGCCCATAAACGTTGAAAAACTGAGCCCATTAATTGCACTATGATAAACAAGCTTCCACTGCTGTGCTCCCGTTTGAGAAAGAGCTCCTAGAATATGCCAGGCATGTTCTTTCTGCAGCGTCAGGGATTCAAGACTCAAATTTTCTGGATGAAGCAGATGTGGAATTTGAAATCCTGGCCTGACTAACAAAATAAATAAATAAGAAAACATGAAAATGGTGAGACTTGGTACCAGTCATCTAAAATGAGGAAAGGAATAGTGATTCTATGCACATAGTTTGACTATAGGAGAAAAGGGCTGCATTCTCTCAAATAAAATGTTATTCATGTATGGAGATGATTTATAATCAGTAGAGTACAGTAGAAAGTTGACAGCATAAAAGGAAAGCCCGAGTCAGAGGATACATGGCTGGATCGTGAGGAGCTGCAGCAGAATGACCCCGACGCATTGGAGATCTACGAGAGCACCAGAGACGCCTACTCGACGGAGTCGAGTTTTCTCCCACCCCGGGAGAATGATGGGGACATCAGAGCATGGAACGTATATCAGAGGCGTGGCCGTCGATCTACGACCACGATCGCGTCGATGTATTTTTGAGTTATTTCATGTATTTTTCTTTTATTATGTTATTTGTCTTTTATTATTGTTATAGTTGTTTTTCCCGTTTTACTCTTTAAGGGAGATCGTATGTAAGCCCTAGGGCCATTGTCGTCTTTCTTATTTTGAGTCTTATGTACGAGGCTATTTATAGCCCCTATGTGCCTCTTTGAAGGTTAATGAATGAATGATAAGAAAAATTCCTGCATATGTGCTCTTTGAGTTGTGAGAGTTCTTGGAGAGAGCTTTGGAGAAATCCCTAGGGAGTGAAAACGGATGATCACCCACCAATCTTGGAAACGGTCGGATTCGTTGTTTTTTTTATCGTTCTTTTTCTTTCAATCTCCTTTCCTCCTAGCCGCCGGATTCCCTAACCACCCCCTACCTTGCCGCCGGCCAACTTTCCCCACCACCAAGCCCCCTTTCCCTTGCCCGCCAAGCCCCACCTACACCCTCACCTAACCGCCGGCCCCCATACCCGAACCCAAACAAGCCGCCGGCCCTAGACCCCCTCTCCCCTTTGACTCTCATTGCCTATTTTGAATTGAAATAATTTGGGCAAATTTTGAATTCAAATTCATTCAATTTGAAATTTAAAATCTTTCCTAAATTACTAGATCTATTTTAGGAAAGTTTCCTAAATTGAACCCAATTTAAATTTCGAACTAATTGGAATTCTTTAAACACTTTCCTAATCACCACATCCCAAAATAGCAATCCCAAATCTCCCCCATTAATCCTCCTTAGCCTTGGATGCCGCCGGCCCAATCATTAACTCCCTTTGAATTTATTTCCTAATCCCTCCACCCTATCTTAGAAATAATTCCAAACTCCCCACTACCTCTCTTGGCTGAAATCCCCATGCTCCCCATTGATTTAATTTCTTTCAAAGGCAAGATCTCCTTATGGAACTAAATTAGTTCACTCCCTGCCTCATACCTTATCTTTCTTCCTTTAATTATTCTCAATTAAGAGAATACTTAGAAAGTATTGAATTAGATTTCCCTCCATCACCCATCCCAAAATCTGAACCAAATCGCTCACACTAGCCCTCATCCTTGGCTGGCCACCTTTTCTCCTTTCTCCCGTCTTGATTTCTCTAGATTATCTCCTCCATCTTAAGAGGAGTCTTCAAGGGAAGCCTCAACGATCGTCGTCAATATCTCAACCTCAAAGGATCATTACCGTCTATGATGCACCGACACTTCTCCTCAAATAGGCGTGCAGTGTCCGACACCGTATCCGACACGACACTCGTCTGACACTCCTCCAACACTTGTAGGACACGCTGAAAACATGTCTAATTAAAAAATATTAAATACAAATTGGACACGCGTGTCCGACACACGTATCTTAAATATTTATGAATTTTTTTAAATATAATTTCTTGTATTTTGAGGGATTTAAACTAAATTTCTTATTTCCTATCCACAACATCAAATCAACGTCCGCACTTAATACCCAATCATCAAATATTCTCATTTTCATTTATTTTTGGCAATGAAGATATTTTCATCTCCTCTCTCGATGACTGATAAACGACATCGACGCCCGACTCTCGACATCCTAATACTAATCATTTTAAGCGCAAATTCTAGTTAAATGATTTATTATTTTCAAATTATTTTTAAAATTATATTTATTTAATTTTTATACACTATTTTTAAATATAAAAACTATAATACCATTTTTATACACTATTTTTAAATATAAAAACTATAATACCGTGTCCAACCAGTGTCTGTGTCCTATATTTTCAATAACTGATGTGTCCCGTGTCCGTGTCGTGTCGTATCCGTGTCACCGTGTCCGTGTCTGTACATCATAGATTACCGTCAACTTTGACGCTTAGGAGAGACTTCTTCCTCTCCAGTTGAACCTTCAAGAGGAGCTACGATGAACTTCTTCAACATCTTGACTACTTGTTTCCGGACTTTGACTAAGGTAAACTTATCCCCCTTTTTCAATTACCTTTCTAATCCCCTAATCTTTTAGGTGATGACGATTCACAAGGAGCCGAGCTTCACTTTTGCTAAGCTAGTAAACATAGGGTTTTGTTTCATCGTTGCCCAAAACCTAGTAAACGTAGGAATGAGTGCACCTCATGTGTTTCTAATCTTATTGTTATATTAGAGATTTTCGTTAAAAGCTACTATATTTGTATGTTGTTGATTTCCTATGTTATTTTGATAATTCAAAGCTCTTGTTGTGCAACTTGGCCTAAATGGGAGTGACCGCTCTTACGTTTTATTTTGTCGTTTTTATTTGCTAATAGTTCTAATTTTTATTACTCTAATCAATAAGTTGTGCAAGCTCTTATCAAATTACTTCAAGCATTGTAGTCCTACATCAAGTAGACTCAACACAAGCTGGACAAGTTACAAGTCAACATGAAATCTGATCAAATTGGCTCAGAATTATTAAGCATATAATTGTATTTTCTTTAATTGAACCTCATTTTGAACTAGCTAAAATCACTCAAAATTAAATAATGAATAACAAATATGATTATATTTGAGTTTTTGCATAACATTTAATTTTAAATATAAAATAAATAGAAAAAAAAAAACATCTAATTATATTTGTATCAAAACAATTATAATAGTCATTGCTCGATATATTATATACAAATTTTGAGTTGATTGAAATCAGATTTCGAGCGAGTTACCCTGCAATTGAAATATCCACAAAATATTTTTCAAGCCAAGTATTGAACAAGCTCAGCTCAAAATAATTCAAACCGAGTTCAAATGACTTAGAATTTGAATGAGTTTTGACTAATATTGTTACACCTAATTGGGCTCCTTCAGTTGCAGATTGGTCCAAAACCAAGCTTGACGGATCTTTGAAGTCATATAGAAGGCAGTAGTTGCCATCACCCTTCTAAGAATTAAGCCAATGTTAACTCCAACTGGCTAGCTAATAGTTGTGCCACCAAACCTTTCCTTTGACAATTTCAAACTTCAGCATAAAAATAACTTCAGCAAACCTTACCTTCGACAATTTCAAGACCATTTTGACTTTTGTATGTTAGTTAGAATATCAATTGTGGAGCGAGCTTCATAACAGAGTGATTTCTAAATCTAAAAGAGATGTACTAGAATGTTAGCTAGGTTATAAATCTTCAAAATGCCAATTAGTATTATCTAAGCTAAAAAATTTATCCATTGTTTAATGACATGTCATTGGAAAAAACAATCAAGATTTTTAATGTAACATTTGATGCACTACATGATCAAACACTTTTCATGCAACAACAAGTGCATGCACCCATGATATAGCTCTAAATCTTCAAAGATTTTGAAATTTCTAAATATTAAGACCTCCTTAAGCATCTAGATATCACCCAACCACAACTTCTAGTAACCATCCAATAGTTCAAGTAGACTACCAACCTAATTCGTAAAACAAATGCCTATATTATTCTTTTTACAAGATCTTTGGCCAAAATTGCTCTGTTGCTTCAAGGTGTCCAAATTTAAGGAAAGTAAATATTCAGGATCAAGAAATACACTTAAGTTATCAACTCATTCCTTCTCGCACAGTGGATGTTGCTCCTTAATCAGCTAAGGTTTGCACTCATAATTAAATTCCAACTGATTTTCCTCTGAAAGCTGAAGCTGATATGTCCCTTTTCCTACCTTCTTACAAATAATACTTTGGATATTGATCCTCCTACTCTGAAAGTTCATCATCTCCCTCCTATTGGTGAATACTCGGATAATCATGATTCATACTATGGCTTCCAAGTGTTTAGTGTTTTACTTAACCCCTTTGGACGAGCTTAAGGATACAAGAACATTTACAATACCAAGGGCTGACTGGATTGTAATTGTTATTTTTTTCATGTGGGTTATATGGCATAAATATAAAAGTAGGACATTTAGAAGTTAGGAGTACTTTCCCTCTTAACTCTAACTCATGCCTATGTTGTTAACAAATAGGTAAACGGTCTTACTCTAGGAGGAAAATTGAATCTGTAAGAAGACATTTAGAAGTTAGGAGTACTTTCCCTCTTGAAATTCTAGCTCATGCCTATGTTGTTAACAAATAGGTAAACGGTCTTACTCTAGGAGGAAAATTGAATCTGTAAGAAGCATGGAACGTTTAAAGAATTCTTCCAAGCAAAGTTGATAAGGATCATGTATTGTCAAGCTTTTCCTTTAGGGTTATGAACAATCTAATCTCCAAGCCAAACTATGAGTCAGATTGATCTATTCTGAAGCTGAAGCAGGCCGCATTAAAAGTTGGCTTAACCTGGTCTCAATTTGAGCCAAAGGTGGCTGATTAATTCAATGAGCTCAATTTGAATCAAAAACAGTATTAAAATAATTTTTTAACTCAAGTCTATAAAAACTTCTATAGATACATATGCATATCAATGCATATATACATTACCACAAATATAAATATATGCAGAAAATATACATTTCAATTCGATCTTGAGTTGACTTGACTTGATACATGTCTGGCTCCATTCAAGTTTGATTTGAATCGGGCCTAGCTCATCAGTCAACTCATTGATTTCAATTCAAGCTTGGCTCTTTCCAGAACCCAATACAATTTCCAGGCAATCTTCTAGTCAAATTCCAGCCCCATTTTTCTGAGTGATAGGTTTCTTAAAGTCATTGAATTTTATGAGTATTTGTCGTGCCTCTAGCAGTCAACTCATGCCACTATCTATCACTAATGCAACAGACAACTCATTTTCAACTTAGTGGAAATAGGAGAGAGTCAAGCTATGATGCACCAATACTTCTCCTCAAAGAGGCGTGCAGCGTCCGACACAACACGCATCCAACACTCCTCCGACATGTGTCGGACATGCCGAAAACGTGTTAGATTAAAAAATATTAAATACAAATTGTGCACGCGTGTCCGACATGCGTATCTTAAATATTTTATGAATTTTTTTAAAATATAAGTTCTTGTATTTAAATTTTTTACTTATTTAAAATATAAAAACCAAATTTCTTATTTCCAATCCACAACACCAAATCAATCGTCTGCACTTAATACCCCATTTATCGAATATTCTCATTTTCATTTCTCTTTTGCAGTGAAGGTATTTTCATCTTCTCTCTCGATGACTGATAAACAGTATCGACGCCCGACTCTCGACATCCTAATATTAATTATTTTAAGCACAAATTCTAGTTAAATGATTTAGCATTTCTAAATTATTTTTAAAATTATACTTATTTATTTTTTATACACTATTTTTAAAACATAAAAACTATAATATCGTGTCCAACTCGTGTTCGTGTCCTATATTTTCAATAACTGACGTGTCCCGTGTTCGTATCATGTCGTATCCATGTCACCATGTCCATGTTTGTGCATCATAGGAGCCAAGTTTACCAACTAATTTACCAAGAAAGAGATTGAGTGAGAAGAAAAGTGGGTACTCAAACGGTTTAAATTAAACAAGTCCTATTTTAAAGCACTCACAATTTCTAAATAAATCAAAATGGTCAAATATAAATAAATAATTTAAATCTATGATAAGCACGAACAAAGAAAAAAGAGGGCACCTGTATCTGGAAGCTTCAACAAACTTCCAAGGTACTTTCTTGCAGATGGTATAACATTACACCAGTTTCTAAAATCAGCCAAGGACATACAATTCTCAGCTTTTCCTTCAACTTCGTGTGAAAATTCTGTAGCACTTAAAAATGCTTTCATAACAACCTTTGATGAGCTCAAGGCTGCTTGAGAATTCTTCGGAGTAAAAACAGCATCACTGATTGAATCCAAAACAGCTTCCAGATCACACCTAAAATTATCCTTTCACGATTAGGATTTCAATTGATTTTGCTACCACTCATCTTCAGTCTCACCTTTATTTTATAAAAAGAACCAGCTTAAACATGATAAGACACTATAAAAACGAATTCCATATAAGGAATATAAATTGAAGGATAACATTGAAAAAAAATAACAGCTGCCAAGTGGAAAATAAGCAAAACCAGTAACAATAATCCAAGAAGAAAATAGGCCCCTACAACCTAAAATCAAAAAGCTTCAGTATTATCAAACAATTTGAGCAGAATAATAAACATTTTGCAAACAGGAAGCAACTTATGTAAGCTTCTAATGCATAAATAACTACCTTTCCAAGAATCCATCGCCATTGACATCGCATAACTCGTAAATGAATTCCTCAATCTCATCCCGAGTGCCTTTCTCATAAACAGCCTATCAAACATGGGAATTGCATGACTATAGCTATCAATAAAAAATAAATTTGTTTTTCTTTTTCCAACAAAGACTGCAGGGAGGATGACAGAAAGAAACTAACTTTGGAGATAACAAGATCTTCGTAAGTAAGCATGCCATCGTTCCTCTTCTGACTCACTAAATCAAACAACCTACTGGCAAGAGGTCCACTAATGCCAAAAAAACCCTATAATGCTCGCAGAAAACGCAACATTAGGGTTTGAAACGGCAAAAACAGAAACTAAGAAAAAAGACAGGAGCATGGACTGTTACCTGAAAAATAGAGGGAGAGATGTACTTGGAGTCGCTCTGGGATTGGGCTGCGAGGGACACGAAGAGGGATTTAAGATCCTCCAGGTCCTGCTTAGTAAAAGCCCTATTTTCCAGTAAAAACCACTATATCTGTAAGGGAAAGTGATCAAACAAGGGAAAGAAAACAAGGGGAGTGGAGGTACCTGCTCGCCGTCGCGAAGCGAGGATTGGAAGCAGCGGATTGGGCGCTGCCCATTACCTCTTCCGGATTTCGGTTCCCTCTGCAACTGAATTGGCAGAGATTAACGAGGATCGTCGGCGATGGGAATTTTTATTGAGTACCCACCTGACGTACATCTACGTCTCAGTTTTTGCTCTACGTACTCCCACTACTCCTACCTCGAAAAAACTCAGTTTTTGCTTGGTATTGTTAGGTATTATTTGATAATAAAGATGAATATCATCATGTGAAGACCAATATCGAGTTATACCGAGCTGTACCGAGCAATACCGAGAAATACAAAAAATACCGAGTTCTTTCTAGGAAAAACTAGGTATTTTTTTGCATTGCTCGATATTGCTCGGTATAGCTCAGTATAACTCGGTATTGGTCTTCACATGATGATATTCCTCGTTATTGTTTGGTATTGCTCCGTATTTCTCGTTTTTTAGCACGAATTTAACTCTGGGAGGACGTATCTCTACGTCAAGTGGAAGGACGCAATAAAAATTCCGGCGATGGAGGATCGATTACAAACGATGATAACATGTACTTAACGATTAACCATTTTATTAAACTTAATCAAAATATATACATAAAAAATACATTTTATTTCAAAAAATAAATATTAATGATTTTTTACTGTGATTTAAAGTTTGAACGATAAATAAATAAACATAAAAATTTATATATTAAGCATGTGAATATATAATAATTTTACAATATGTATGTAAATTTTTAAAAAGAATTAACACAAAAAAATAAATAAAGATATAATTGTTTAATATGATTTTTTTTTGTCGAAAGGTGAGGGCCGACTAGTTGAGCACGAGTCACTGTAGTGGAAGCCTAAGCCCTCAACCATGAAGCAGATGAGTTTTTCGCTAATGTGAAATTTTTTAAAAGAAAAAAAAAATCTATAGGCTTTATCTATTGTGAATTAGAATTAAAGCTTTTGAAATTCATTAGAACATTTTGAACAAGGAGACGATCAAGATTACAATGTTATAGGAACATATGGGAGATATGTTATATATTTGTATAACATGAAATGTGTTATTGTTTAAAACCTAAAACACTGCACCATTTATTGCAATTACGAGCAAGTAAGGCTAAGGCTTCGTTTGTGATAGCTTTAGATTACTTTGATTTTTTTATTTTTAAGAGATTTTTATACTAAAAAAAAGCTTTACGAAACAGCAAAGAAATCGCCCCAAATAAAACCTAAGAGTTTCATGCATTTGCAAGTGTATATGCATAGATACTTATAGGTTTAGAGTGTGTTTGCACATAACATTGCATATTAGAGAGGCAGTAGCAACAATGAGTATGCATAGAACTTATGGCAAAGGTTGGCCTTTGTGCTATAGTACACATTTTAGGATATGTTTGTGCGATTACTATAGTACTTTATAAAGTTGGTAGTAAAATAATTGTGAGAAAAATAACTTAACAACTCTAGGTGTAAAAAATAACTTTCCATTATAAATTTTTTTAAAAAACTATGAAAAAGTTGTTGGGAAATTTCTATATATGGGCCAATATTTTTATACATATAATAAAGAATTATACATTAGACGCTATCTAAAATGAAGCCAATTAAATTCGTGATCTATTTAAGTATTAAAATATTATTTGGCTTATGTGGCATCTCAATTAAATTTTGTATGGAATGAATTTATATAGAGACCGGGTATTTATTTTATTTTAATGATGAGCTGAAATAAAATATTTACACTTAAAGTATAAAAGGATCGTAATCCCCAATTTAAACGGTTAAGTTCTCATTTCCCTCATTTCTCATCTTGAGTGAAAAGAAGGGGTCTCTCGATCTCTTGGAGAACGCTGCTCTAAACGTGGAAGACCGAAAACCTCAATTCTGCATTTCAATGGATTCAGATACGCTTCCGAAATTTCTTTTCGATGATTTGAGATATCTTTCAGAGACGATCGAATTGTTATTTTCGTCTTCATTAAATTCTAACAAAAGTAACAATAAAATAATATACAAAAGAAACCAAAATTAGTGTCTAAAGTGAATAAAATGTTATTAATTTCATCACATCACCCCTGCGTGTTACTCGGCTCAATACTACTCAGTACCATTCAACATTTTATGAATAAAATATTATTAATTTAGTTAAATTTAACCATTCAATTTTTTTTTTTTTTTTTTTTTTAAGAAGCTTTAAGGAGAACCAAATTTCAATGGCGCTTCTCACAACAATTTTACAAGTGCTGTAAATCGCAGTAGAATTTATTGCAGCGATGTAAACAAAGCTTTAAGCTAAGCTCGAGGACAGTTATTAAGATCCATTTCTGATATCTTTGTTTCGTCTCCATTTAAGATCCATTTCCCTGCGTTGAACTGTAACAAAAAAAAAATTCAAAAGAAAGAAAAAATAAAATAAAATAAAACTAAAAAAAATTGTTCGGTTTGTTCTCATATATTCAAATTTTATTTGGACAGATTAATCTTTTCTATTTTTACATTTAAAAACTCTTTTCACAACCATAATTTCAAAAATATATTTTTTAAAAACAAATATTTTAAAAAGGGTCAAAAAATAATTTGCTCAACATATAATTTTAATAAAATAATCAAAATGGTCCAAGAACTCTTTAAATAGAACCAAAATGATCTGTAATAATATTAAAGGATAATCTGATCTCTTCAATCTTTAAAAAGGAATTAAAAGAATCTCTTGGTGTGATTATTTTGATTTCTCTTTACAAAATTGAGAGATCAAAATGACCCTTTCATATATATGAAGATTATTTTAATCTTTCATAAAAATTTAAAGCGCAATTTTCATCATTTTCTCTTATGTTTTTATTAACTTTTTTTTATCACAAAAGCAGTTCAAAAACTATTTCAAACAAAGCCTCAATACCCTCTTCTTTTCTGCTTTTTCCAATAACAAAAGCAGTCTATAAATATTACAAACCTTAAGAGAATTCATAATGCAAGGAAAGAACAGTTTTGAACAAAAACAAGTTACAACCCTAAGGTTTCGTTTGGGACAATTTTTTTGTTGCTTCTTAAAGCAGTTTTCTAGTACAAAATGAAAAAAAATACTAAAAAGTTGCTTTGATAAGCAATAAAAAAAACCGTCCTAAACGAAGCTCAAGATAAAAGCTATAACAGCAGGATTGAAGCTGCATGAAGATCAAAATCAAAGGCATAAAAACAGGGTTGCTAGGTTGGTAAGGATAACCATAGAATAAGTGCAGCTCCTTTGCCATATGTATCTTAAAATGTCTTTTGTATTGCATGGTGGTTAATAAGAATCTCTGTAGTGCCTTTTCTACTTGGCTAATAGGCTTTTATATCTCAAATACACGATTTTAGTAGCAGTTGCACTACTGGAAATGGAAATCAGATTTGTTTTTACACGATTAAGGTTTTGTTTGGGACGGTTTTTTTTCTGCTTCTTAAAACAGTTTTTTAGCATAAAAAAATTAATTTATGTACTAAAAAGCTTCGTTTGGGACAGCTTCTTATTACTTCTTAAAACATTTTTTTAGTACAAATTTTTAATTTTTATACTAAAAAGCTGCTTTAAGAAGTAGGAAGAAATCCCTCCCAAACGAAGCCCGAGTCTTCGTTTGGGACGGCTTTCTTATTACTTCTTAAAGATGTTTTCTTGTAAAAAATTTAAATTTTTGTATGAAAAAGTTGCTTTAAGAAGCAGTAAGAAAGCCGTACCAAACCAAGCCTAAATAATAATATGCCTCCACTTATTACCAACAAGCTTAACGAAGCAGGATTAATCAGGAGAAGGAAATTTTACCTAAAAATCGATGCTTAGGTTCCTGTCTATGCTAGAGAAACTTCGGAAGAACGCCATGAAGTGTTTGTAAGCAATATCTACATCTTCCTTCCCGCATATTTCCCGCACACTGCAAACAGATTTTGAAGAACCAGCAAAATTGATATTAGTCGGTCATGTTTTCATGGCATAAAAGCTTCACATTTTTTATATTGTGATTTGGCTTAAAGTGAACGAAGTAATGATCTCAGTTACACATGGATAAACTTTAAATTTTGTAGATATGGAGAAGCATTTGATAGGAAATATTTGGGGTCGCAAGTAATCCAAGAGGAAATACTTGAGTTCGCAAGCAATCCTAGCGCTAATTGGTAAAAACAGTGAGAATAATGCAAAAAATCTGGATGAAATCAATAAAAAACGATAGATTGCAATAATGGAATCAAAGCCAAGCAAACACCAAAGAAAGATACAATTGATCCTCAATTCGAGAGGAGGATTGTTCTCTCCTAATCTCTAGACAAGGAGTCTAGAGCCCAAGATGCCAAAAAAACTCAAGAGAAACAAATCAAAGCATGCATAACCCTGATCCTAAATAACCCATACTATGAATACATTAATTCCCTAATTCTTTAAAAAAAATTATTCCCTAATTCAAAATTCCCTCTAATTCAAAATTCCCTCCAACCCCTAGCCACCCCTCTCTCTCTCTCTCCTTAATTTGCTTCCTAGTGGAGTCCACTAGGCTTGGGCAGCATTCATTGGGACGGCGTATTGGGTGTTTTGCTCCTACGGGTTCTCCTTGGCAGTCGGCTTAGGCCTGGTTGGCTTGTAGTATTGGGTGTTTTGCCAACAGGTCAATTGTGTTTAGGGGGTGTTGTCGATTGGTCCTGGAAATGCCACCGATTGTTAGCATTCTTGAATTGTCTCTGATGTTGCATCTCTGCCTTTAATGCCAAGTAGATAGCCTAGGATGACCACCAAATTGAGTTCAACTCCATTTTGTCTTATATTTTATCCTTGAGACCACCAATGTAGCGAGCGACAAGTTGATTGGGAGTCTCATTAAGGTCGTTTCTCTCACTCAACCTATGGAATTCTTTAGTATACTCGCTTACGGATTGATTGCCTTGTATACAAGGCTAGTACCTCATATATAAAATCTGCGCAAACTATGTAGTAAAATGCGCTGTTAGTAATTGCTTCATCCTCTGCCAGTTGTGCACCCGATCCTTTCCTTCTCGTTGTCTCAACTGCAAAAGTTGTGCCCACCAAGTACTTGCTCCACCCTTCAGTCTACAAGCAACATATTTCGCTTGTTTATTGGGATATATCTCCATGTATTCGAAGAAGTTCTCAATAGCTTTTTCCCAATCCAAGTAATCTTCTATATGTAAGTACCCATCGAAAAATGGAACATCTAACTTAACTTTAAATTCTCCGAAGTGTTGTTGGTGATGCCTAGAACAACCACGACGGAAATGTCTCTGGTGAGTTTCACTGTCCTCATCATCTTCATCCGATTCAACCATTCATGTCTCATGAAATTGCCGAGTATTATCTTCAGAGACCAAATTTGCAATGTTCTGCAATTGTTCTATATGCACGGATTAGTTGAAGGGCATTTCTCCGTGGATGCCTGGTATAGTAGTCGGTGCAGTCGCTCAATGAGTGGGATGAGGTGGATTCCTCACCTGTGTTAACTGAATGCCACGACGAATTTCAACGGAGAAGTGCATGAAATCCGCAGATAGTTCTTCGAACTGTCGAACGAGGTTAGCCTGGTTTGCCCACAAGGTTTGAAGGCTCCGATCATCGTCTGTAGTTGGTTCCTTGCCACGATCTGCCATGAATCTAGGAAAATAGGCTCTGCTACCAACCTAATGTAATCACTAGAATGAGAATAGCAGAATGACAAGCAACAAGAAATGTTCCTATAAACAGTATTTCAGTAATTTAGTATATTTAAATGATATAGTGTTCTCTTCTTCCCCCTATATATTAGATCATGTTATTACTGTGATAACAAAAAAAGGGTAGCTTTGGTACTATAATAACATAAATAGTACTACTGTGGTAATGTGATGAGAACATCACAGACGCTACCGACATGTTTATCGACGAAGGAATCGCAGATCTATGGCCACGATTCAGTGCCTCTACTTTTGATTCAGATTTCATGATGTATTATTTAGTTATTTGTTGTTTCCATTTTTACCCCTTTGGAGAGTTGTTTTGTTATTGTAGCCCAGAGGGCAATTTCGTACTTTTTTTCTTTCCATGAGTGGAGACCTATATATAGTGGTCTCATATGTTGTAATGGGTTAATGAATATTTTGAATGAAAATTTCTATCATGTTTCTTCTTCTTGTATGAGAGCTAGAGAAGGGAGAGAGCTCAAATGGAGCAATCGCAAGGCCCACCAGTCGTTGGAAGAGTCTGCAGCTCGTGGTTAAGTTTGTTTCTATCTTATTTGTGTTTCCCTCATCATCACATAACACCAAATCCCCATCCCGTTTATCCTCAATCCGAGCCCCGACTTCATCCCGCCGGCCATCTAGTGAATCCACCTGTCGGTCCCTCCCTTAGCCGCCGACCACCCCTTCTCCACCTCCCTTTCCCCAAGCCTCCACCGCCAGCCTCTTCCCTTCTCCCCCTGCATGTTTTGAATTTTGAAATTCAATTTGATTGAATTTCAAAATTTCCAAATTTGTCAAAAGTCAAATTAGGAAAGTTTTCAAATCTAATTCAAATTGAAGTGGATTTCATAATAAAGTTTCCTAATTCTTATGTGTTGATTTGGAAGGTTCATAAGTTGCTCCCACACCTCCTCCCTCCCTCTTGAACCCGCCAGCCATGCATGGGCTTTCTCCCATTAATTCCCCACTTAACGAATTAATAGCCCCTTAATTTGAAATCAAATTTCAAATTAAGTTTCCGATTTCATAATAAAGTTTCCTAATGATTATGTGTTGATTTGGAAGGTTCATAAGTTGCTCCCACACCTCCTCCCTCCCTCTTGAACCTGCCGACCATGCATGGGCTTTCTCCCATTAATTTCCCACTTAAAGCATTAATGGCCCCTTAATTTGAAATCAAATTTCAAATTACGTTTCCCCTCAATTTCATTCAAATCCTGAAATTAATTTCATGTTTTGAAATAACTCCCTCCCCCTCTCTCTAGAACCCGCCGGCCCCTTCCTTGGCTCCCCTCATTAATTCGCCCCATTCAATGCCTTAATTCCCCTTGATTTGAAATTTAAAATTCAAATCAATTCCCTCCAAACTTAATCAAATCTGAAATTAAATTCAGATTTTGATTAAATCCCTTAAACACTTCACACAAACCTATTTTCCCCAAACCCTAGCCCCCTGTTGACCTCGATTTCGGCTCGATCGTATTCGAGCACTTTTGATCGGTTTAATTGAACTCCGTCGAGCCCAATTCGAACTCGAATCGACCCGACTCGAGCCGGATCAGACTCACATGCGTTCAATTAGACTCGATTAATTTGTTTTTGTCACGACGTACTTGATTTAATTTGAATTGATCATTATTTTGGACCCGATTTTGTTTAACCAATTTTGTTGAGCCGGCTCGAGCCCGAATCGAGCTAAATTCGGACCCGAGTTCCACCCGATCTTAGCCGAATCTGATTTGATTTAGCTCAATTTGAGCCTATTAAGTGCCCTTTTGACTTTCCATACTTTTTGAATTAATTCCCTAAATCTAGTAATCGCATCGACGGCCACGATCAAAGGAGATCTGTGATTCGGCCAAGATCGCGCTGATCAGAGGATTTCTGCGATTCGAGCAGGCAGCGAGCAGATACGAGAGCTGTTTATGGTATTTTCAGAAGCTGGAGCGCGACGACGAAAAGAGGCGGGCTTCCTCTTGCGGCAACGGACTTAGTTTACTCAGAACGAAGCTTTCAGCTTCGGGACTCTCTCCCGCTCCTTCTCTCTCTCTCGCTCTCGACCAGTTCTCTTAGGCTCAGCTCTCCCTCTCGTCTCCTTCTTCTTCTCCATTCGCACAAACCTCCCCTCTTCTCCCTCCCTCGTTTTCTCTGTCCCGAACCGGCGCCGGGAAACAGCCAAGGCCGAAGCCTTGCTCTTGTCTGAACTCGAGCCCCTTTGCTCTGTCCGACAGCAGCTCCACCGAGCTCACGCCCCTGAACCGAGCCTCCCTCCCTCTGTCTCTCCTCTGTTCAGATCGGAACCAGGGAGCCTCCCGCTCTCATCCGACCCCAGCCAGGACCAAGCCGATAGCAGCTCCCCCGATCCCCCTCCTTGAAACCCGTTCGGCCTCCAGGACTGAACCCGACGAGCTCGTCCATCTCCGACCGAGTCCACGCCACCTCGACCGGCCACCGTACCTCTCTCTTTCGCACGAGCTAGCCGAGTTCGACGACTCGACGCCGACCTCCTCTGTGCGATCCGAACCCAACACCTGGACCGACCTCCCTCCTTCCTCTCTACAGGTGAGTTCAATCTCCCTCTCTTTCTCCTCCTTTTTCTTCTTCTCCTTCTTCTTCTTCTTCTTTCTCTCCTTCTTCCTCCTCTCTACTTCCTTCTCCTTCTTCTTTTGAATCTCTTTCTTCCTCTTCCTTAGCTTTATTTGTACCTCATTCCTATCTAAGATGTGGTGGCTGATTTGGTTGGTAGAGAATCATATTAGTGCAACAATACAGTTTTATGGTGTATACTTTTACTATGGAATACATTCATTCATTGTGCTAAGTTCTATAATGGCTTGTGATGAACTAATGATAGTAGCTGATTTTAGCAAGATGCGTTAGTTTATAGTTCTCCTAAATGGACTGATTTATCTTGTCTTAGAATGGATAATTGATATCTTAGATTTACTCTTACTCCTTGTCATGTGATTTTTGAGTTTTAGGTGTAAAACATGTAAATCCATAAGAACTTTGTATTTTCCTTACTAAAGCATGCATGTTAGGTGTTTGTGTGAATGCCTTTAAGAAAGTTTTTTGTGAGATTTGGTTGGAGACTCATGAAGCATATGGAGCCATTAAACTAAATGTTGGGTGACCATATTTAGATACAAGAGTTTGGCATGTTTCTCATGAGCTCGGACATATTTATGTTTGTGGGATTCATCCTAAAATCTTCTTATTGTAATGCTTAATGCCCCTTTTGATTATAGATGCTTATAATGAGTTTTAATGAGTTTCAAATAACCTTTTTATTACGCATCTAAAGCTTTCATGAGGGTATGTGATTGTGGAAGTGTTAGCTTCCATAGTGATTTCATAAGTCTTTCTTGTAGTTGATGCTTTGCTTACGGTAAATCTTGGTGACCTTTGAGCATATTCTTTGGCGATGTTTCCAACCAAGTGTATGTTTAGAGAATGTCGATGCTTTGGTTTAAAATGAAACTTGCTCTTATTTGTGTATGAAGCATATTCTGATTTTCTCTCCAAATGTGTTCTTCATGAAGTTTGCTCTTCACCCCCTTTCTTTCTATGTGGAAATATCATGCGTAGTGAACAAGATCTTCTCTTTCTTTTTTTCTTTTTTTTTTTTTAAGAGATAGACGTATGATTTAAAATAGAAATCCTTTTTTTTATGACAAGTGTTTAAAATAAATCAGTGATTTTGTTAGAGGAGCATTTGAAAACTCTTATTTTATTGCAAGTTGGAATTACCATTAGGTGATGGTCAAATGCTAAAATTTAAAAGGATGAATTGAGGGTGGATGTTAATCATCACTGTATATGAATGCTTTGGTAGAGCCTTGTCTCTCATGGGAATGACACAACAGTTTGAAAGTAGTTTAAAATCTCTTAACATGCTTGAACTTGATTTTGTGCAGGACTAAGATCTATCCTTCTCATGCTAGTGTACTCAAACTTCCAACCTTTTTATTATAATAGTGTGTTGCTAGACATGGAGGTCTCCCACCTCAAGTTTGATCACATGTTTCTTGCCTTGCATGATTCTCTTTTAGAACTTTTCAAAGATGAGAAGTTTGCACATTTAAGATTTTATTTATGATGAATAATGATAGACCTTAAGCAATTTCTTCATAATGTTTTCTCGAATAGGGCGTAGGTTTGAGAGTTTCATGAGAATATATGATTGCAAAGTATCAATTTTTATTTCGACTTGTTTCAAGTAATTTCATGAAACACATATGGTTGACGATGATGTTTTATATATTTATGTTGGAGGCTAGTTTATGTCATTTTCTTCCGTTAGCATTTAAAGTAGCATGCATTTGTGGATTTCAATGTTTTCTGTCGGATTTGTGTTGGAGAGGCCGAATAGTGTTTTCCTTTTCTTTGCTTATGACGCTTTGTCAAAAGAATGGAAGTGAGTCGGAATGTTTTATGAAATGTGTTGCATTGAAAGATTTTATGAATGGGTCTATCGTTGGAGGCTTTGTGAGTCGTTTCGTGTTGCAAAGATTCGTGATAGATTTTATGAATGTGTTACAACGAAGGCTTTTTGTGAATTATTTTGGTAATGAGTTTTTTTTTTATTTTGACTTGTGCATGTTCTCTTGATGGAAGGCTCTATAATGCCTATTCATTAAGAAAACCTCTACAAGTCTACCCCACTCCAAATGAAAGGGGGCATTTGATTATGAGTTTGTGGGTAGAATTTTGTGTCAAAGGATGAGGTTTTGGTAGAAGATTTCGTAGAAATTTGGTAGAGTTCTTGGTGTTAAAACAAAATGAAGAGATCAGTGATTTTTTTTAGTAGATGGCTTCTTTTGGGAAGTTTTGTATACTAGTGCCAAAGCCTAGTGTAGTTGAGTGATCAATCCCCGAGGTGAAAACTCTCATTATTAAATTGTGGATTGTTGGTTAATAGCTTTTCGTATTGCTACTATTTTTACTTATCTACTAGGTTTGGTTAATCTACGTGCTCCTTCGCCTAAGCAAGTGAAAAACTAAGGTTCTTGATTGACATTCCTTGTTATTGCAATAAGCTATTAATTGAGATTATATTGTCAATTGTTCTTAAACTTCTTATCAAGCTCCTTTCGCATGATGTTTCACATCAGGCTTTCTCCCACGTTGACAGCCACCTTCAATCTAGCCTCCATGACCACCACAATTCCAGGCAGTGAGAGTTATCTGATCAAAAACCAATGGAGAGGGAAACATTAACTTGATGAGCTAAAGAATACAAGAAAGAATAATTGTAAGATTGAGATCCATAGATATTGTCATAAGTGAGATTACACATGTTGAAGAGATGAATAAAGATTGGAGAGAAATTTAATGACCAAGAACGCATATTCTATTGTTGTTAGACCTTTGAATCAATACTAAAAAGGTATGCTATTTAGTAACTCATCTTGCTTACCCCACATTGAGATAAAGTCGAATAAGGCAAGAATGAATTCAGTTCACTGAAAAAAGCCATGCATTAAGCAACAAGCGTGGGTTGGTGAGAGAACCAAATCCTTGTAGAAGTATTTGCAAGGATGAATGATAACAAATGTAAGGTTGCAGGTAAACCCAAGGCAACTGGCAAGTGCGCACAAATGCATAAGAAGTGGGAGTAGCACAGAGTAAGCATGCTAGCGCGAGAGCAGGACAGTCGTGTGAGCGCGTGGGAGGCATAGTGAGAAAATGGCAAAGTGGAGCGATTGAGCATATGAGAAAGCAAGAGGCCAAAGCAAGATGATGTGGTGATCATGTGCAATACGAAATGTAAGTGATGCGAGCATGAATGGGTGAAGCATAAGGTTAGGTCGGCCTAGCAAATGAAGCCAAATTGAGATTAGTCATAAGGAGGCTAGGGTTTTCCTATTTAAGATATAAAGTCGGAATAAAGAATGTGATATGTGTTTATTTATTAGGAGGATTATTAGGAGGACCTCCTATTTATAATCGGGAAAATATATATATAATGCCCTAAAGGACCACCAAATAAACTTAGACTACTAGCCATAATAAAAATAATTTCTTTAGATAAAAGATTCCGTTAACACAAACTCATTGGGTCATCTACCAAACCAAAGGTATTGAAAGGGTCCTTCTCCATAGTCAAAAGACCCTTCTCCATACAAAATCCCCAATCCTCTAGGGCCTCCCTATTAAAATTGAAGAAATTCACTAACCTCTGTGTACCCGTCTGGATTTGGTTCATCTCATCTTATATCCACTTCTTGCATGGACCTCACCCTAATCTTTATTTTTACTTTCCATCAAGGACAAGTGTATGTAGGTCATCAAGCAGGGAGGGTGCGTTGCGGCGGAGATCACAAAATGAGAAGATGCATGAGACTAGGGCTGATGAGGGCATCAGATTTCGATCCCCAATCCTCTAGGGCCTCCCTATTAAAATTGAAGAAATTCACTAACCTCTGTGTACCCGTCTGGATTTGGTTCATCTCATCTTATATCCACTTCTTGCATGGACCTCACCCTAATCTTTATTTTTACTTTCCATCAAGGACAAGTGTATGTAGGTCATCAAGCATGCATGGATCGCCAACCAACTCTGTAGAGGGAGGGTGCGATGCGGCGGAGATCACAAAATGAGAAGATGCATGAGACTGGGGCCCTAACATGCGTAATCACTGACAAGAGCATCATATCACATTCATCTCAAACGTCAAGGTGATTGAAGGAATTCCTTCCTTTTGGCGTTACATCAGTGAATGCTCATTAAGCACCTCCTCTATCCTGACATAGAATCTGGTAGGACACTTTTCTGCAAACTATAGAAATGAGGTCTTGCTGGTAATTTTCAAAATCTTCGTGCACTACATACATATAAATGATTAAAAAAAAAGGTTATAAACAGGGCTCCATCATCTGTGTTATAATCTTCCAAGTAGAACTCGTATAACCATCTTAACAAAGCTTGCAATATTTGAACTTAAAATCAGCATGTGAGGTTCCCACAAATGCGATTGATGAAAAATTATTCAGCGTTGTAGATTTTAGGGAAACAAACATGATATATGTGCTTTGCATGAGGAATGTCTCATTTTTTTCACTACATAGTAACTAGGAATCTGGCAAATCTAATCTTCTGAGCTGAATTTTAGAAAAGGATGAAAATTTTTATGATGATTTATAATGAAACTACAACCATTTCTATAGTAGCTAAGCAGTTGAGAAGAACGGACCTGTGCATGGAGAGTTGAGGGATACCACAATCTACAGTTCTGATTCCAACTCCGGATGCAAGTATAGGACCAATGGTAGATCCACACCCCATATCATTTCTTACAACAAATTCCTAGACAAAGTCAGCGTATTAGGGTCTTATCCCTCATACAAAATGTAAAAAGAAGGTTTGTGTTTCTTATATTTTAGAAAGAACCCTACAGGAATCACAATCTGACAGTTATCAATATGTGTGATAGCAATGCAAGTACGTTGAAATGTAATGCAGACTCCATCTCAATATGATAGTTCTTTATTTTTAGGATTAAAATCTATCCCATATAAATTATAAAGGGACATAGGCTAGTCACAAAATTTTAAAATGTGTTATTAAGGAGGCAAAACATTGACTGAAGAACCAAATGGAAATGCAGGTCTTATGTATTTTCGATAAATGAGTAACAATGTGAGAAGTAGGGATCAAACCCATGGCCACATGGTTGGAAGCTAGGGTATGACCACTAGGTCAAAGCCCAGTTCACCTTAGTAGAAAAGTTACCAACATAGATATGCAAATAATAGGTTTTTTCCTCTTTTACAAACATTTTTGTAAAGACCCGAACCGATGATCGCCTGTTATGTTATCTAGTGTCAAAGGGAGGGATCTGCTCCACCTATTTTGTCGCTTTTAGTCAAGCAAGACGAAGGGAATTGTATCAACCCTGTCGTTTAGAGTTATGAAGAAGACAAAGGGTTTCATCTCCTTATAATTTTTGAGAGATGGAAGATAGAGAGATCAAGAGAGAGGGCGATCAGGAGAGGGATTGAAAAAGAAACTAGAGCCAAGTCACTAAGCATAGAATGCAGGCGAGCAAGAGTGTGTGATCAAACTCGACAAATGTGACAAGGATCAAGAGAAGCACCTGCTATTAAGCAACTTGCATGAGATAGAGGGGTGCGGTGAAGATGTGTGTGAGAGGTCGAGCGGCTTGAACTACTTACAACCAGTGGCAATGAGATGAGAGAACATAAGCCCAGGCAATGAGCACTAGCGAAGAGCACGTCCGACGACTAGGGCTCAACTATTTTAATTGGGGAAGGCAGAGTTCTTTTTAGATTTTCTTTATATTATGTAATTATTGAAAATAATAACTTAGAGGATGAAATTTTATTTTTATCTAAAATTTTAAATTTAGATCTCATAATTAAGAAAATTTATTTGAGAATAATTATTAGATTATGATTCACTTTTTATTTAAAATGATTAGTGAAGAGGAAGAGAGAGAGAGAGAGAGAGAGGGGGGGGGCACAAAGTTATACAAATTACAGTTAAAAGACAAATTTTATAAATAGATTTAAAGACTAGAAAATTTCAAGTTAATGAAATCTGGTATGGAAAAAAAAAGAGTTAGTTAGTTAGGAGAAATTTATTAAATAATTACAACAACAACAACATCAAGCCTTTATCCCACTACGTGGGGTCGGCTACATGAATCCTTTTTCTCCTGGTGTAAAAAATAAGAGTTAAGTAGAAATTATTTAAATTCGAGATGAGCATATATTATGGCAATGACGTTGATTCTTCTAAATATGAAGCATCATTTATTATTGATAATGACTCAAATTGTTATTACACATTAGTTGTGATTTATCTCTATTATAGACAATTGTGCATATTGAATTAAATGACATAAATTTTCTATTATATTACAGTCATTTAGCACAAGTTATATAATGCTCCTAATATAACTATATGAAACGATATGAAAAAATACAAACAAAATGCTTATATAGAATATATGTATGTGAATGTTGACTAATCGAGTACACCCCCTTATGACACTGACTGGGGACCCAATGTACACACACGTGTGAAATGAAAATGGAAATGAAAATTAAAAAAAAAAAAATGGAAGTACCTTAATTGGTACTATTTAGATGATGTCTCATGTGATGGTTATATTAGTTATAGAGAATGATAAACAAAGAGATGTGTGAATATGCTAACATTTATGGTAATTCTCAAAATTTTAAATAGAATTATTTTAATTCATGTTTAAAACAAGCATCACATTGTTCAAAATATCACAGTGTTGTTGCAACTTAGAAGCATGTTATACTCACTGAGTGGTGTTACTCACCCTACTATTGGAAATATATACAAGTATAATCTGAAGAATTTAAATGGGTGTAAGATGAGAGTATGTATATTGTGGGTGTGATACTTCGAGATAAAGGTATTTTTTTGAAACAGTTATATAATTTTACTTATTTATGGTCTTAGTGACTTTTTCAGTATGTTAGAAATAGTTTATTGTTAGAACTTTAGAGAGGAAAATTTTAAATAATTGTCCCAGAGTCTATTCCTGCCTCATTAATTCAAGCCCCCGAGCTGAGTCGTGACAAAATAACTTCTTTAGCAAGCAAGCCATGCAATAAATGCAAGTTCACAATGTAGGTCAAATAGAAGGACATACATTCATCATTACCTATAAAATTAAAAGAGAGTTTGTGTAATATTCTCATATACGCTTTATAAAGAACAATGAGAACATATAAAGTGAAAGTGATCAGAGTACAATCACTGCGCAATCACTGCGTCACGGGAAACTTTAACTAGAACATAATTACACGCTCATTACATATAAAATGACTAGATGAAAAAAAATTGCCACAATGGAAACTATCAAAATGAAAAGGTTTAGTCACAAGTTCGAAATTTTAGCGATGAACATAGTTAAGTTCCTCATTTAATGTACTTTCTACTTGGTAAGGTAAAATGCATTACAATGAATGGGATGAACATGAAAATCAAGTTGAAGTAAACAAAGTATCATAATTTAATGAGCAATACCTGAACTGGAATTTTATAAATTTCAGCCACTTCCTTGAAAAGAAAAGCAGTCACAGAACTTGTAGCATAGCGCTGATTAGCATTATGTTTGATAACTAGCCCTTTCTGTAGTTCTGGCCTGTGGTGCTCCTCATACTTGTCTAGGAAATTTGGGTGCACTCCATGAGCCATGTCTGCAGAGACTGAGAAAAGCAAAGGGTATTTATAAAGTGTACTGACAATGAAGACTTAATTGAATAAGCACCAAATATGAAAAGTTATAACGAATGCACTTCCAGCCACAAATTTTTTTCATCAATAGCCTTAGGTGAAAATATATCTGGAAATGACAAAATAAACAGCTACTAGAAAACATCTACAAGAATCCTTATCTTATTATTCACGGCAGTAAGGTACTCCATATTAAAATAACTCTTTGTTGAAAACAGTTTTAAGGAAGGAAGACAATTGAGAGTATCAGTAGGCAAGAGACCCTGGCTGTCAATTATAAAATGCATTGATTAATATGATTTATAAGAATAATACTTATTGAATTGTTACAATTTTCCTAGTAATAATAGTTAAAGAATAAATGCAATATTGATTTGATATGGTTGCAAAATCATTGGTTAGGGTATAAACCCAGATATTTAACCATTTAGGATTGTCAACAAGTTCGAGATTTATGTAGGGAGGATTAAAATTTTTAAAAATAAAAAAGGCATGTTCCATGATAATTGAGCGGATGGAATGGATTTAAAGAGTCTAGGCAGGAAATAGAAAGATGTTCATTTTTTATTTTTGCAACATAATGAGACAGTTGGCTCATTAAAAAACAGTGCGTCAACATAAATCCGACTTTGCAGACATAAGATTCTATCTTCTTTGGGTAGATTGTAGTTAGTCAGATTTCTCCTGAGTGTAGTGTTGGAGTTTAATTAGATCTGAGTTCTTACTAGGGGTGTAAACGAGTCGAGTAGAGCTCGAGCCAGGGGCTGTTCGACTCGACTCGCAAGTCAAATACCGACCTCGAACTCAAGCTCAACTCACGACACAGAAACGAGCTCGTCGAGCCGCTCAATTTCAGTTTTCCTCCCTCCATTCTCATTGTAAAACAACCAATACATATCTCATTATAAAACAGGCCACTAACGATAAACATGTTTACTCTTAATGTATATATTTTGTTTGCAGTCCAACAAGTTTTATGGTGCAATTTCTCCAGTATAATCGCTACTACACTGCACATCAACTCACTAGAAATTACCCTTAAGCAAAAGCTATTGCTAAACCTATAAAAGTGTGGTTACTAGTCAAGAATTTATCACATTTTAATGTCTAACTAAAACGGTGAATTTGATTTCATCATAACCATGAAGAAATCAAACCCTATGTTGGACTAAACCACAATATACATCCAAGGTTAAAAATTGCGCAGTTGGATATAGACTATTGAGGTGTTTTTTATTTATGAGGCAAGGCGTAAGCTTCCAGGCGTTTTGAGGCGTAAGCCTTAAAATTAAAAAATTGTATAAAGTGAAAATAAATGTTAAAAATATTTTTTTATATAATACCCAAATAATATGTTAAAGGATGACATGTTAATTTTTTATTGAAATACATATGAAAAAAAATTGCACAAGACATAAAGTGGTAAGTGATAAATTACATGAAATAAAATTGAAATTTAAATATTACATGAACAAAACAATATTAAATATAGGAATTGTATAAAAGCATCATATACAATCAAGTTCAACTCTAAATTCCTTCTTTCTCAATTCACTACTCTTCCACATTTAATTCCTAAATAAAACTAAAATAGTTGACAACAACTAAGAAATCATCTGCACTTTCATCAATAAAGGTATTTGAGTCGTCATACCAAATTAGTCTCTTTTTTGCCTCATCCTGTGGAGTCCAATGCCTCTCACTCTGCTTTTTCATTTATTTTAGTCATATTCCTTAGGGGTGTCAATATTTAGCTTGACCCGAAACCCGACCACAAAAATCCTAGGTTCCGATCAACCTGTTTGTCAGACCGGTCGAGTTCGGGTTTCATTTTTTGAACCGTTTACAAAACTAAGTCGAGTTTGAGCTAACCCGAAAACTCAAAATCAAATTGGGTTGAACTGTTTACAAAACCCTATTGTGTCTACCAGCTGTTCACGAGCCTAGTAGCATATTGTGTCCACCCACACAACGCGTCTCAAGTCAGCATAGGTACGACAAAACCGAAGTGCGAGCCTAACCGCGTCTGCCAGTTGCTCACAAGCCTAATGCGCCGCTCACACAGCGCAGTGCACCCCTCTAAACTCAGCACCAGCACAACAGCACAAGCCTTCCGCGTTCTCCAGCTACCAAAAGTTTACACCAAACCTCGCCCGCACCCCGCTCATGCGCAAGCTTGCTCCCATGCAGCACCCAACACCGCACGCACACACGCGTAGACCCCGGGTTCAGGGGTTGTGTTGAGTCAACTTGGTAACCCGTGAGAGTCAGGTCCAGGTTGGAATTCTTGACCCGTTTGTAAAACCGGGTCGGGTTATGGTCAACCCATTTGAACCCCTGGGTCAATTTGGGTTGGACCCGTACCCAACCTGTTGACCCGTTTTGCACCCCTAATATTCCTCTTTCATAATTATTTTTCATCAACATAAAGATGAGATTAACATTCCAAAAATTTTAGAGGAGGTGGTGGTGGTGGTGTACTACTTTCAAGTGATCCTCGACAGTAGCTATGATGGTGGTGATTGTGGAAAGGCAATGGGTTGGAGGTCGAGGCAGTCGAGTGGAAGTTGTTACGGCTCGAGGAGGGTGCATGAAGAGTTAATTTGTTTGGGGATGCAGTTTAGGATTCAGGTAAATCTTAATATATATATATATATATATATATATATATAT